ATCGCGGTGCCCCCTATCAAACGGTTATCTTACCAGTCGTGACACAAAATCATCCAGCACATGTATCCAACAGCAATGTTCGCAGACTCACGAACACTGATCAGCTCGGGATTGGAGCCATCCATAACGGTGTGGGGACGATGTACGAGAACTTGTTCCCCAGAAGTAAACTGCGGTACGGACAAGNCATCCAGCACATGTATCCAACAGCAATGTTCGCAGACTCACGAACACTGATCAGCTCGGGATTGGAGCCATCCATAACGGTGTGGGGACGATGTACGAGAACTTGTTCCCCAGAAGTAAACTGCGGTACGGACAAGTTTTCGTTCGAGTCTGCTTGCTTGTCAGTTCGCTCTTTCAAATTACGACGAGAGATCTCATACGCGAGTTGTAAGTTATCCACGGTACGGCGTGAATATTCCATACGCGAAGCAGAGTTATCATGAGACGGTACACCAAGAATAACATCCACGGGAAGCAAAGCCTGGCGACCAAACATCAGATAGTGAGAAGTTTCCTCAAGAGTTTGGTTGTACGTGGTATTGTGGGCGAGTTGCACAAACGGTAAAAGCTCAGCCTAATTATCAATCCGAACGTTTGCATACATTGCGAGCATGCCATGCATTGTGCTGTGCGCGCGCTGTAATACGGAGTTACCTTGCGGCCGATACGCGGACGTCCGAGTTTTTTTTAAACCAAACACGGCATGCAACTCTTGAACCAACTCATTCTCGAACTCAGTGCCCTGATCACTGTGTAACGTTTCAGGGGGAGAAAAAACGGAAAAGACACGCTCTACGAGGGCCTGTGCAATTGTTGTTGCTTTATTATCACGAATAGCAATCAACACAAAAAAACGAGTCAGATGATCGATGACCGACAAGACGTACTTGCAACCCTGCGATACGGAGTTATATTCAACGAGATCGATCGCGACACACTGAAACGGACGAGTAACGGGACGGTGACACACAGGTAATGACGGTCGTCTGTGGGGCGTTTTTCGGTGTTGGCACCACAAACAACGCTGGATGTGTTTGGACGCATCTCTAGACATGGTCGGCCACCAAAAACGATTTTGAGTCTATCGTACGTGGCTTTGAACGCTAGATGACCCCCTGANAACGAGATCGATCGCGACACACTGAAACGGACGAGTAACGGGACGGTGACACACAGGTAATGACGGTCGTCTGTGGGGCGTTTTTCGGTGTTGGCACCACAAACAACGCTGGATGTGTTTGGACGCATCTCTAGACATGGTCGGCCACCAAAAACGATTTTGAGTCTATCGTACGTGGCTTTGAACGCTAGATGACCCCCTGAACGCAGGAGCATCATGACAAGAATCCAAGACTAACGCACGCAAAACGGTGGGAACGACAAGTTGATCAAGAAACGAACTGCGTTTACGAAGATACCCTGGTAAATACGACCTGAATAGAACGTTCACATTCAAGAAGTAATTACTCATGGTGCCTGCATTTTCGCTAGATAGACGGTAACGGTGCTGTTTTGGGTTTCTTGACGTAGTCGATATACGGACCGAACTCTTTGTTCTGTCCTCTTCGCAATTTAGCCGGATCCAGTACAGGAAACAACGATACAGCACTAGCGAACAGTTCATTGTCATTCTGGACGATATCAACATTGTTCAACGAATCGGCAGAAATTCGTAGTCAATGGTACGAACGATCACTCGGCACATTCCTACAAATCGACGCTAAGGCTGGTTTGTGTGATATGGTTTCGGACTCAATTTCGCCAAATAATCGAGATACCGTATCGGGTACGACGTTCATTTTTCTGCCGTGTTTGACGGTAAATCAAAATATTGAAGAGCGATAGCCCAACAAGTGAGCATGTTCCTGGTGTCTTGCATATAAAAAAGATGAGTCAACGCTCGATGATCAGTGATCACCGTAAAGTGTTTCCCAAATAAGTACGGTCGCCAATGCGAAATTGCAAGAACCACACCGCAACACTCTTTCATAGACGCAGAGTAATGAAGCCGTTCATGTTTGATACTATGACTATAGTACGCAATCACGTCAAGAGACTCTGGATCAGCCTTGGACGGCTGGGCAAGAAACGCGCCACACCCATGTTCGGATGCATCCACATGAACTACGAATTCGCGATCGAAGTCTGGGAATTGTAGAACGGGCGCTGAAGTTAATAACCGCTTTAGATGAGCGAACGATGCGTCGTGCGACTTGTTGCAAGCTTTTACGAAACGTGATTTTGTGGCGTACTCTTTGCGAGTTGACTCCACCAACGGATTGGTTATTTCTGCGTACTCCGGTATGAACCGGCGCACAAAATTAACCACCCCGAGTACTGAGCAAAGATCTTTCAGGCAACGAGGAGTAGGAAGGCTTTGGACGGCTTTAATGCGATCCTTCCCGACAGAAATACCTTCAGCCGAAATAATATGTCCCAAATACTCGATGGACTTGGAGCCAAACAAAATCTTCGAAGGTTTCAATGTCAGACCTGCTGCTTGGAGAGCTACGAACATGCTCTCCAAAGACTTCATATGATTCTCGAAAGTTGCTGAAAGCACACGTACATCATCCATATAAATCAAAAAGGGAATATGGCCTAACGTTTTGTGGGACATGTCAGTAAAAATCCATCAGGCATTACAAACACCGAACGGCATCCGCTTGTAACAGTACTTGCCAGAGTCGGTGACAAAGGCTGTCCTTTCGACGTGGTCAGGATGAACACGAATCTACCAGTACGCTGACTGGACGTCTGCAACGCTGATGAACTTGGCACTGCCGACAGAGTCTAGGTTGGACGAGGCCAGGTCTTGCGAATGATGTGCTTGTTGACGGTGCTTCGGAAATCGACGTAAAAACGAGGTTTACCATCTTTTCGCGCGACAAGAGTAACGGGGGAACCCCACTGACTAGGCAGCTCTTCGGTGATGTCATCGTCAAACATGTCCTTGCACGTTTGGATAACGGCTTCAGTGTGCGGGTTTGCGCGGTAGGGACGACTGTTAACCGGTTTTGTGATAGGCGGCATAGGAAACGTGGCTAACGGAGGAACCCCACTGACTAGGCAGCTCTTCGATGATGTCATTGTCAAGCATGTCCTTGACGCACGTTTGGATAACGGCTTCAGTGTGCGGGTTTGCGCCGTAGGGACGACGGTTAACCGGTTTTGTGTCAGGCGGCATAGGAAACGTGGCTTGAGCAGCTGTGCATTTACCAAGCTCCTTGCGATTCAGCGAAAAAACGGGACGATGTTTTTCGCACAGGTCCAAAATACGAGTTTGCTGTGCCTTAGAGAACGTGGAATTTGCGAACCCTTTCGACATCGGTTCTACCAGCTCAGCTTTAGCAGCAGCAATTTCACTCGCGGTCTTTGGAGACAAGGTAACAGCGTGGACGTGAAGCTGTTCCTGTGTCACCATAGTAATCGGCGATAACGTTCCAATATCTAATCCAACATGTACGGCGAGACACTCAGGTGATGGATTCGCAATTTGGAAAACTACCGAACCATCAACAGCACTCCATGTTGAGACGGTACGAGCCACGATTATACGCTCAAATTCGGGCGGAAGAGTCTCGAACGAAAATCCATTTGCCGACAAAATACGCGGCTCGACTACTACGGCGGTATCAACGGACGGTATGGAATCAGTAAATACCATGGTAAATTCTTTTCCGATCATCGCATGACGAGGGCGAATATTATGACGTTGACGTGATTTGACTGAGTGTTCTTCCGCATTTCGATAAACGACTGCAACACGGGGGGACGGCGACGGATCAGAACCGTGTTGAGATTTTTTACGGTGAATAGCGGAGACAATAGTGTCACTACACTCAAAAATCAAACGTTAATTTTTCCAGTCAAGCACTGCCCCAAACCGAGTCATTGCATCATTGTCGAGGAGTATTTGATAAGGACCGAGCGATGGTACGACCGACGCATCGATCCGGCGGGACACGTCTCCCAACCGAACAACGAACGAAATAAATCATAAAACTTTGACTGGTGCACCATCTGCGGCACTGAGTTTTAGGGACGGATTCGGTATTGGCTCTCAACGAGCAAACGATAACGATGGGTCAACCCATTTTGCCACAGAGCTACTGTGATGCAATTCCAAGCGGTACGACTACCATCACGCTCGACGGCAGCTTGGAACCGTGCCATGACAGTACGGAAACGGAGAGCATACGAGGAAGCAGGTTCCTGTGGCCCTTGAACGAACGTTGCGAGACTGTGTGCCTCCTCCTCAACGGAATTTGCGGGAAGAAGTGAATCAAGCAAAACAGAACACATGGCATCCCACGTGGTCGGAGGGGGAAACGACCCTTCTCCTCCGGTTCTGTGAACGTGCTTGCCTTAGAACAGTCATTCTGTCCAGAAAAGATCTGCTGTGTCAGAGTCAACACCTCTCCTGTTCCCACAAGGTCAACGTGCCTGAGTGCAACCTCCTCAGCAAACGACGAATCCGTGTTGAAAACTGCGGCTTTCAGCCCAACTACCGTACGAAAATGTGTCAAGATTTCTATCACATTCTCGGCACGGTCTCCAGTCAGCTTGGGAACGCTGCGGAGGTCAGCCGCGGATATCGAAACGATAGCTGCTTGCAGAAATGTACGAACAGGGGCTTCGGTCGCTACAGCAGTCGATGCCACCTGCGACGTTGAAGTAACAGGTGGTGCTAAGACGGACGATTGTGCATTCGCGAGTGCAACCTGTGGTGTTGAAGTACCAGGTGACTCTACGAGGGACGATTGCGCACTTGCAGGTGCAACTTGGGATGTTGAAATACCTGCGGTTGCACTACTAGACGTACACGACACCGAAGTAGACGTGTTTACGGGCGCAGTGAGCGACGGACTTGGCGAGGGATGTGATCCACTCGTTGCCGGCGCGGACGGAACGAACGATGGTGCTCCAGGGGACAACGGTGTCAGCCTGGGCAACGACGGAGCTAAAAACGGAACGCTTGAACTTACCGATGTCGGTGCAGTTGCACTCGTTCCACGAGGCGAGGCTCCACGAGACGACGTAGCTGACGCTGTTGCGACAGACAATGAAGCGGGCACCGACTCCGTCAGGAGACGCTGCTGCCAGCGATGGTAGCTGGCGAGAGCTCCGGAGGAGTTCGCCTGTACCGCAACGCTCGGAGGTAAGCTTTCACCTCCTCCTTGCACGTTGCCTCCAGCAACTGCAAGGACGACAATCGGTCCACACCATCATCATCATCCGATGGCTGGTGCGACCGATTCCCTTGGTCTTCCGACAAAGAGAACGACGACGACGATGGAGATGGCGACGACGGGCCGGTGGGCGACGCTAGGACGTGTTGTTCTTCGTCCTCCCCTTCGGGCTCGAAGTCGACGAGCTGCTGTTGGTCCCCCTCCTCTTCCTGGAAGTGAACCTCTTGTTTCGTTCTGGAATTTTTTTTGTTCCCCATGATGGCAACTGCCGCAAGGTAGTGCCACCACCGCACAATGAACTCAACAAACACACGAAACGCCGCTGATGCCACTATGAGACTGTTGTCCCCAGGTTCGCGTGTGAGCAAGTTCCCTTAGGGATGGGTGGTGTGGATACACACCGGATCAACCTCTGGTGGAGAGGCTGATGTCCCTTGTGTTGAAGCAAGGTTCAGCATCCAGCCTGCACTGACTCTATCTGTGGTAACACCCCGAAGGTAGATCTCCGACAGGTCATCTGACGTCACAATCTACGACGGTCTGAGGTGGCATTTACACAGTAAGGAAAGAGAAAATGAAATAAAAAGAGCGAGGATAAGAAGGGACCAGGCCGAGAGTAACACGAGATAAGAGACAGAAAAAGGCACACGGTGGAGAGACCACTAACGACAAGCAAACACGCACACATGGCCACCAACACNCTCCGACAGGTCATCTGACGTCACAATCTACGACGGTCTGAGGTGGCATTTACACAGTAAGGAAAGAGAAAATGAAATAAAAAGAGCGAGGATAAGAAGGGACCAGGCCGAGAGTAACACGAGATAAGAGACAGAAAAAGGCACACGGTGGAGAGACCACTAACGACAAGCAAACACGCACACATGGCCACCAACACGCGATACATTGTAATGGTACGTCATCACTAGTGGGAGGTTGGTGCAATGGTGCAGCGATAGGGGGGGTGGAATTGGCTAAAAGAACGTAGTGCCTGGTGCTGGTACGTTACCCTTTGATTTGTTCTTTGGGCGGGTGTGGGAAGCGTCCTCCTTTATTTTTGTTTTTGTACTATTTTGATCGGTTTCCGAGGGGTCTTTTCTCGAACGAGCGGTGCGATACCTGTTCTTTCTTTTTATCATTTTGTTTTCTTTTTCCGAGTGGTTTGTACCCTATTTTTGTTCTGTTTCCCGCGACGTCGTATGTGCCGGGTTTTGAGACCACGGCTCCCCATTTTTCGTGGACTAGTCGATAGAGCTACTGTGAGAAACAGCAACAACTGTTAGACGTACTCACAGCATCGACAGATTATTGCAAGCAAGAAATTTCCGACCAGATGGAGCGGGGTGTTCAGCAGTTGCTTTGGATTAGATTTGGTGGTACCAACTTTGCCGCATATTTCAGGATTGAGGGTGGGGGTATGTATGTGTCTACAACGGATATGGTGATGGTGTGTTGTGGCTTCTCACTTGTTTTTCTTTCCTCTTTTTCCTCCTTCCTGTGTGCAAACAAGTCCCGTTTCCCCGGCTATCACGCTACCACGGCTATCACGCCACGACCTTCACGCCAATCCTGGCTATCACGCCACCCGGCTATCATGCCTTCCGGACATCCACGTCCTTAGTTATACCTTTACACTACGACTATCACGTCACCAGGCTTCCACGCCACATGCAGAGATACCATACCCGAGCTATCTCGCTCCATCCCAAAGTAGAAGGCTGTCACGCCCATCATAGTTTCTACACTGTAACGATGGCGGCTACCGCGCCGCTGGCTCTTTTATTTCCCAACCAAGGGGCCCCGCGCGCCAAGGCACCGACGCACAAAGCTACTCGACACGCTAGCGTAACGATCAAGAGAGTGGCCACCGTGTCTAAGCGCGCAAAATGCCAGACGGAGACGGACAACCAACCTCCGGGGGGATCAGGTCAGGCTGTCCCTCCCTGCGGGGAAGGCGCCGCGGACGGAGGAGGGAGCGATTCTTTCTTCGTCAACGATGCACGAGACCGAGGGGGTGCGCGAGCGGCAGGAGGGGAAGATCAGCGCGACACGATGCGTGAGCTGGTTGACCTCTTCAAGCAGGCCTTCGCGATATCAACTCATGACCAGGGGCACCGTGCCCACTCAGGCACATCTAGCAACGAGATTTTAGAACTGAGGCAGAGAGAAAAGATAGATGTACCAGCATGGAGTGATGACTATCTGAAGAACAGATCGATCGAAGTTGCATTGCGAGTGTTCACGAGTGCTTTTGAAGCGTGGCTGGAGAGTGAGGGACTTGCTGGTGTGATGAGGAGTTCAGAAGTCCCTGTAGGTGCAGCTGGTGTGGATTTGAACTGGTTGAGCAGCACGTTCGGAGAGGAGAGAGTGAAGCAATCCAGGAAGATTTGGACGTTTATGCTAGCTAAGATCACAGCACAACCCGTACAAGCCCAAATCTTGGCATCAGAATCACCTCAAGCAGGGTACCGCGTGTTTCTCGAACAATACAGCCAGGACAAGAGTCAGGAGCGACAAACTCTTGACGACGCATGGAACGTAATAGGCCAGAGGCAAGCAGAGAGTCTTATGGACTATTACGGTAGGGCAGTTGCGCTGTGGATGAGACTTCGATCGTATGGTGATAACAGGGATGAAAAGTCGATGTGCAGGCACATAGTCCGGGGATTTCTCCCAAGGTTTGAGAAAAGTAAAGACCGTCTTCTGTTTGATTCGATGTTGTCGAGGGGCTACGATGCAGGAGATGCTGAGGTTGGAAGAGCACGAGCTGAGGTACGAGCGGAGAGCTGGAGAGGCGAAGAAAGAGATGGGCATGCCCTCGTCGTNGTCGATGTGCAGGCACATAGTCCGGGGATTTCTCCCAAGGTTTGAGAAAAGTAAAGACCGTCTTCTGTTTGATTCGATGTTGTCGAGGGGCTACGATGCAGGAGATGCTGAGGTTGGAAGAGCACGAGCTGAGGTACGAGCGGAGAGCTGGAGAGGCGAAGAAAGAGATGGGCATGCCCTCGTCGTTGCCGGCGTGGGCCGGGGCGGCGGGGCGGGGAAACCAGCCGCTGCAGGATCGGAGCAAGGCGGACATCGACTCCAGCAACCAAAGGGCTCGGTGCAGCCACATCAGCAACAGCCATCGCACTTCTGCCAGCTCCACGGCCCCAACAGCACCCACGAGACCTCCAAATGTCACAAGTTACGCCACGAATTCCTTGCCCACTACAACGAGTTCTGCGCATACATGAACGGGAGGCGGGAGACCCAGGGGTCGGTCTTCCCTCGAGGCGGAGCTCAAGACTCGGGGCGGATGGTTGGTGGCCCATCTCGACAGCAGCTGTACCAAAACGAACAAGGTGCGGGCTGGAGTCACTCTCCAGCGCTGCCGGGACCGCCGCGTGGGCCAGGGTCCGGAGCTGGAGGACAACTGCACGGGCGCAGCTCTTGGGGGCGTGGGTATGGTGGATACGGTCCTTCCCCCCCGGAGAGCCGAGGTCGTCAGGTGGGCGGCCGTGGTGGTAATTATCCGCTGCCCAACGTTCCTCCCGCGCAGATTGCTAACGTACCGCGGCCCTTTTTTCCGGCTCATTTCGCCATCGGAGGTGGAGGACCATCAGGCGGCGACATCACCTCGGGATGGGAGGCCACGTCGGCGCCCGGATCTACACCCAGCTGGACCTCACCACCTCCTGAGGCAGGTAATGGCTATGGGCTCGCGNACATAGTAGCCTTTTTCAGGCATACGCATGCTCCTGTCTACGTATCCCTCCCGTGCTGCTAGCAGATCTACCATGCTCGTATCCAGACACACGAACAGAACCATCAGGCAGCGACATCACTTCGGGATGGGAGGCCACGTCAGCGCCCGTATCTAAACCCAGCTGGACTCCACCACCTCCTGAGGCAGGCTACGGGTACGGGCTCGCGGCTCACGGAGTGGACCATGGCGGAGGTCCCTACGGCAGCGCCGCCGGCGGGGGATACGGTTTCCACCAATTGCCCGACGGCGGATGGCTCTACCAGCAGCAAGAAGTGAGCAACCTACCACACTATCCTTCTGCTGCTGGACCGGACGCCCAACAACCGCGAGCCTACGAGGCCTTCGACACCCCGCAGCAGCATCAGCAGCAGCAGCACCACGGTGCACCCCAGGCGACCTCGTCCTCCTCCTCTCACTCTCCAGCTCCAGGCGACGCTCTACCTCCAGCCGGCGATTCCACCCTGCGTCTCTTCATGGCACGTGGCGTGTGCCCTCGAGGCAAGTCTGAGGTTGATTTTTGAGAAAGATGTTGGTTTTTCGATGTCTGACGTGTTCACGAGTGCGGAGTCTGATGTGTCAATGCCTGGTGTTCCCCACGTGCCTGCTGTGCATGAACATTCTGATCATAAGTTCGGTGTCTCGAAGTTTGGTGTGTCTACTTATGACGTACCCCGCGTACCCGTTGTACTTAAGAGTCCTGATGAAAAGGTCGGCGTTTCGGAGGATGATGAATCTGTCCCTGCTGTACCAAGTGTGCTTGGAAAGGTAGCCGTAGCCCGTCTCACCCGCCGTCCCACGGTTGAAAAAGCTGTCTTGTGCCAACCCTCCATGCCGAATCCAACTGGTAGTGGCAGGCCGATTCTGGAGCTAGTGCAATGATTTCGAACAAAGTGGATGCAATCTACAACGTACGCCATTTGGGCCCGGATGAACAATTCATACAGATTGGAGACTTGGCTTTCATCAAGGTTGCCGCTGTAGGGAGTTTGGACCTTAGGTTTCACCAAATCGGAGCCGACGGGAAACAGGAGGATTTGGACTACACTGTGCCAGAATTTTTGTTTGTACTCGGGTGTGGTTTCAACCTTTTCTCGGTGTGGAAGGTGTCCCACAAGCATGAGGTCCGTATCAACCCTAACGGTACGCAAATGATGCACGGAAAACTGCGTTTTATTCGTGGCGTTTCGAGCGATTCACTTTTTGCAACCCGCCTTCCCCACAAATCCCTGCCTTCTATGGACGTTGCGCATGAGAGTTCCCGTGAGAGTTATTTTTCCTTTGTGGCATAGGCTCTTACAGCCGCGATGGATTCCGATCTAGCACCCCCCCGTGTGATGGATGCTGTAGCGGAATACTCGGCGAAGATGATTGATGTGTGGGAGTGAAGAGTGTGTACGCGCTATGGCTGTGTTGGGTCCGGGGAAGACACCTTTCGATGTCGGCAATGCACAAAAGGTTATGGATGTTAACACGTTCCACAACCGTGCCGGCCATTTGTCCGAACCCATTTTGAGACTGTCCGCGAAGCAGCACGTGATTACCCTCACGGGCACGATGGACAGCTGCCGATGGTGCTTGCCGGCGCGTGGGACGAGGGCGCCGGTGCCGAAGCAGGGGGGTGGGTACCGCGGCAAGAGGGCGCCGAACGACGTGTTCCACATCGACCTCTGCGGCGCGTACACGGCGACGATCGGTGGCAACCACTATATGCTCTTCGGTGTGGACGCCGCCACGGGATGGATGACCTGCTACGCCATGCGGTTTAGGTCGGAGGCGTTAGCGGGCGTCAAGCGCATGGTCGTGGATGCCGCCCAGAAAGCTGGTACCGCGATCAAGTGCATCCGCTGCGACTGCGATGCCCTCTGGACCAGCAGCGACTTCAAGGGATTCTGTGCCAGCATGGGAATCGCGCTCGAGTACGCCCCTCCCGGCGTGCAGCAGTACAACGGCGTCGTCGAGAGCGCCATCCAGAGGTGCCTCAAGGTGGGTGGCCAAGGCATCCCGCCGGGCCGCCCAGGAGCTGCTTGGCCCCCCAGGATTTTCTCGTGTCCGCGGGCTGAGTGTTCGTGGCGATGAGCTCTGGACGGAGTCCGCAAAAGACGCCGCGCAGAAGCTGAACCAGTCAGCATCTCCTTCCAACCCCGAGGGCGCGTCGCCGCAGGAACTCACACCGGTAAGGGAGGCCCTTTTCGCTTGATCCCGTTCTTCCCGTACGGTTTCATGTGGGAGCGGCCGGCGACGAAATTGGACGACAGGGCTGTGCCGTGTTTTTTCCTCAACGCCGGGGACAACCACGCTGACGTCACGCTTAAGGTGCTCAAGGAGAGAACCGGCCACGTGTGCTACACCTCCAATGTAGCGTGGGCGGCGCTTCCGCCGTCNGGGGGGGGGGGGGGGGGGGGGGGGGGGGGGGGGGGGGGGGGGGGGGGGGGGGGGGGGGGGGGGGGGGGGGGTGCAATGCTTCACCAACCCCCTCCGCGGGGACTCTACCCACGCCCCAGCATCTACCTTTAGAGATCGTCGCTTCGCCGCCGCCGCCTTCGGGGCCCGCGTTGTGGCCCGCCCCTTCGCCTGGTGCTGCCGCTCCGCCGCTCCCGAGGCCGTCCGCATCATCGACATCCGCCGTCTCACCGCTGCCCACTGCTGCTGCTGCCGCCGGACCGTCGCCGCCGCCACCGCTTTCGGGGACCTCGTGGTGGCCCGCGCCCTCGCCTGGTGCTGCCGATCCGCCGCACCCGAGGCCGCCCTCGTCATCGACATCCACCGTTCCACTGCCGCCCGCTGCTGCTGCCGCCGCCGGACCGTCGCCGTCGCCGCCGCCTCCGGGGTAAGCGCCGCTGTCGTCGTCGCCGCCGCTCCCGGACAAGTCGTCCTCATCCATTCAGGCCGAGCATTCCCCGCCGCAACCGCACCAAGACCGGCGGACCAGACAGTCGGCGAGCGCACTGGGGTACGCACCTCTCACGCCCCATGCCTCGAGACTGCTAGGCGAGGGGGGAGATCCGCGGATCCGAGGACGCACGAGAGCGGAAGCGCGCACCATCGCCCAGCAACAGCTTTCTACCCTATCGGTGAACCGGCAGCTCCCATCACTGCAGGACGATGTCGTCACCACGCCTCTCCCTCCGACCGAGATCACCATGGGGCTGCTGGCTCAAGCAAACGAAGACGTCCTCCTCTCCATGCTGGATGCCCGGCGAGTTATGAACGGCAAGACAATGCTCCGGCCAGGATTGGAGGGGGGCGGCGAGAGGGGGGCGGAGGCGAGCAGCTCACGAGGAGTGAGGGCGTGGGAGAGAGCACGGGAAAGTCGCCGGAGGTGGACATCGGCGAGGAGCGACGCATGGGGAATGGTTGGTCGATCGGTCCGTCTGCGCGGGGCGTTCCGCTCGGACTTGTGGCGCGTCTTGCGACGCGCGACAACCTCGACTCAGCTGTGCGCGAAATGGAGCCACCTCTCTTGCGACCCGACTTGCCGCGCTGCCACGCCAAGGACCTCCGAGTACCCCAGACTTTCAAAGAGGCAAAGCAGAGCGAGCACAGCGAGCAGTTCATGGATGGGGCCAAGCGTGAGGTGTTTGGATTGCTAGAAGCAGACGCGTTTAAGATTGTTGGACCGTAGCAGCGAATAGACAATTGCATCAAGTCGAAGTTGGTTTTTGACTGGAAGGTAGATGCGTTCGGCTTTCCTACCAAGGCCAAGGCTAGACCTGTTGCGAGAGGAGACATGCAGGAGGAGTACATTGACTTTGGTGATTTGTATGCACCTACTGTAGCATCATCTAGTGTTCGTACGTTGGCAGCTTTGGCGTGTGAGCTTGACTTGGAGTTGTGTCACTTCGATATCGACCAGGCTTTTGGGAGGGCCCCTCTCCAGGAAAATATTTTCATGCGACTGCCGGAAGGATGTGGTGCGTTGTCGGGGAAGATAGTGCAGTTTGAACAAGAGTCTTTATGGCTTGAGGCAGGCATCTGGGGAANGTGTGAGCTTGACTTGGAGTTGTGTCACTTCGATATCGACCAGGCTTTTGGGAGGGCCCCTCTCCAGGAAAATATTTTCATGCGACTGCCGGAAGGATGTGGTGCGTTGTCGGGGAAGATAGTGCAGTTTGAACAAGAGTCTTTATGGCTTGAGGCAGGCATCTGGGGAATGGTACGCGTTACTGAAGAAGTGCCTTTTGGCTTTGGGGTTCGAGCAGTGCATGGCTGATTCGTGTGTTTTTCGTTTAAATAGTCGAAGGGGGGGGAGTAGTGTTGCTTCTCGTAGTACACGTAGACGGTACTTTTGCAGTGGGAACGAAGGAGAGGTGTGATCAATTCGGGAAGGACCTGGGAGAGTACGTGCCAGTGAAGTCTCTAGGGGGGGAGTTGAAGTGGTACTCCGGTTGTTATTACGAAAGGGACAGAGCGGCAGGTAGGCTGACGATTTCACAGCAGACGAAGAGTTGGGAGAGAGATATGGTGTCGAGTGGGGTGGGGGCATTCCTTTGCCCACCACGTGGAGACTTTGGGACTTCGACTTGGACGAGCCGAGCGTAGAGTACCCTTTTCGCGCGCTGGTTGGTTCGCTGTTGTGGATTGCCTTGTTGATTAGGCCGGATATCGCGAATTCGGTAAGGGCAGTGGCGAGGTACTGCAGTGCACCGAAGTTGATCCACCGGAAGGCTGCACGTAGCATTTTAGGATAANATTTCTGCTCAAACTGTTTCAGGGCGGTATCGCGTCGGGCGGTGGGCTCTGCTGTAGCTTCTGCTCCCCGCTGTAGCTCCACAACGAGAGACTCCCACAGGATGACCAGGGTAGCGGCTTGAAGCTACGGGCTAGCCCTTCAATTCAAGCTACACAGCAAGCTCCACCTCTCAGTGGTAGTCCGGCTACAGCGTATCGCGCAATCTCGCTCTCAATCAGATGCTACGCTCTCAATCAGGCGAATATGTTGTTATATTCATTGATTGCGTTTGTCGACGCGGATTACGCTTCACGTGCGGCAGACCGTAGGTTGGTTTCGGGAGGGATAGTGATGTGTGCAGGAGGGGCGATTGCATGGTTATACAAGACTCAGAAATGTGTGACTTATTCTACCACGCGGGCAGAATACGTAGCGATGGCGGACATGGGGAAGGAGATTTTGTTTTTTGGGCAGGTTTGGCGTTTATTGTGCCTAAGGAGTTGCGGTCGTGCATTCCCCTGTACGAGGAAAACGAAGAGGCTACTATCCACATCGCAAAACACCCGATCTCGAATTCCAACTCGAAGCACATCGACGTGCGGCATCACTTACTAAGGCAACTCGTAGATGAGAAGGAGGTAGAGATCATCCACGTAGGGTCGAAGTATCAGCATGCCCACTTCCTCACGAAGGCTCTACCTGAGAGAGAGTTTGTTTCCCACCGGGACTACGTGATGAACTTGAAGTGAATAGTCTAGTCCGGGGGATCATTTTCGTTGTCGAGTCTTGCGTGTTTTGTTTTTTTTAATAGTTTTTATTTTTTTGAGTGTGGCCCGATAGGGGTACGCTTTTTGTTTTGTTTTGCAAAAA